CTCATAGAGTGTTTCTCAACCAATTTAGGGGGGGGGGGGGCTTTGGGTCTGCCTGATGATCTCACCCCAAAAATGAAGGAGTGATCGCTAAGGTTATTACCCAGAACACCAGTCAGCGCGAAATTGTGAGGGGCATTTGTCAATAGGACGTCAAGCAGAGTTGACTGTCCCGGGTATTTTTTTAGGTTTGGGTCTTGTGGGGACATTTATTAATTGAAACAGGTTAAATTAATCTGCAAAATTTGTGGCCACGGCCGGCTGGTTTAGCCAATTCCAATTTAGATCACCCACTAAGACGATTTCACCTCCTCTGGGGAGGCCCGCAAGAAGCTCTCTCAGTGCAGATGCAGCTTGAACATCCTTCCCACTAGGCGGTCGATAGTAGCACACTGCCAATATCCAGGGGTGGAGCCAGGGGGGAGTGGGGGGTGGCATGGGGTTGACATTCTGTGTGAAAGTGTACGACACTCGGTCTAGCTGACTCAGTTCTAGATTTAAAGCTTTCGTGACTGCTAGGATCCATACTCTTTGGTTCTATTGGGTAAAGTCACCACGTAGGTGAAAATAAAATAACAAAAAATCACGACGTTTCGGCCACAACACAAGCGGCCTTCATCAGGTGAAGGGACGAGACTGTCTGGAGGACAGCGCTGGAGTGGAAGAAGCCACGCTCAGATCACGACCTTTAAGCTGTGGTGTTTGGTGTTTTTTCTTCTCACACAGCTTAAAGGTCGTGATCTAAGCGTGGCTTCTTCCACTCCAGCGCTGTCCTCCAGACAGTCCGGTCCCTTCACCTGATGAAGGCCGTTTGTGTTGTGGCCGAAACGTCGTGATTTTTTGTTATTTTATTTTCACCTACGTGGTGACTTTACCCAATAGAACCAAAGAGTATAGCTGACTGCGTGCCAACTGCATTGTCAGAGCGTGTGTCTGCCAACCGATGGCGTCTAAGTTCAACAGCCTGACTCTCTCTAAATCATTCTTGATGTTAACATTTGTTGTTGAATGTCACCCCGGGCTGAAAATCCTGGCTCCGCCCCTGGTCATACACACGTCATACACACACGTCATACACACACGTCATACACACTTCATACATACACACGTCATACACACACGTCATACACACACGTCATACACACTTCATACATACACACGTCATACTCACATGTCATACGTTATACACACGTCATACTCACATGTCATACGTTATACACACGTCATACACACACGTCATACACACTTCATACATACACACGTTATACACATGTAGAGGTGTTAACTACGCGCTGTTGTGTAACCCGCGTTGCCACCAGGGCGGTGCAGCATTACCCCTGGGTACAACGGTTGGGGTCAGTTGAGGTGAAACGGATCGTAGCCAGGGTTTGGTGCGAACCAATCAGACGGTTCCACGTGGGAATGTATGATTGGTTCTACCTGGCCACGAAGGGGTATAAGACGGGTGACCCAACGGACCTCGTGGAGTTCTCTCCCTGCACGAAGACAGAAGACTGGGCTGAAGTCTAGCTAGGACCCTGGACCCAGCCTTTCAGCCCTTCTAAGGGCTAAGGCTCGGCATACCCAGTGGTCAGGACCCACCAGGCCAGCGGTGGGTCAGATAGCCTCCCCTAGGTCCTAGCCGGAGGACTAGGATAGCGGTAGACGTGTGAGTCCCGCCAAGTCCGGAGGTTGTACCTCCTTAGGTATCAAGGAGGTTAGCGGTAGACGTGTGAGTCCCGCCAAGTCCGGAGGCTGTACCTCCCTAGGGTATCGGGTGAGGGGACCGAATATCCCTCTGTGTGTGTTAAGCATTGTATAAGGAAATAATACAATAAACAGAGTGTGCCTCCATAAGAAGTCTGCTCGTCCTTACAACACTACACACACGTCATACACACACACGTCATACACACATGTGCCATACACACACTTCATACACACACGTCATACACACGTCAAACACACACACTTAATACCACGTCATACACACGCGTCATACACACGTCATACACACACGTCATACACAGGGGCGGAGCCAGGGGAGAGGGGGGGTGGTGACAGGGGTTGACATTCTGCGTGTGAGTGTACGACACCCGGTCTGGCTGACTGCGTGCCAACTGCATCGTCAGAGCGTGTGTCCACCAACCGATGGCGTCTAAGTTCAACAGCCTGACTCTCTCTGAATCATTCTTGATGTTAACATTTGTTGTTGAATGTCACCCCGGGCTGAAAATCCTGTCTCCGCCCCTAGCCAATATCTGTTGATTATTTGGGAGAGTTATTTTGAGAGCCAGACCTTCAAGGCAACATTTTTTAAACAAGGAGTGAGCTAAATTTTGATTCGAAGCTTTCGTGACTGCAGGGATTCATATTCTTGGTTCTTTTGGTAAAGTCACCACCACGTAGAAGGGAAACAATAAAATAATACAAATATAAAGCAATAAAATTATTGTAAAACAATAAAATTATTATTCTTGGTTCTTTTGGTAAAGTCACCACCACGTAGAAGGGAAACAATAAAATAATAAAAATATGAAACAATAAAATTATTATTCTTGGTTCTTTGGGTAAAGTCACCACCACGTAGAAGGGAAACAATAAAATAATAAAAAATCTAAAACAATAAAATTATTATTCTTAGTTCTTTCGGTAAAGTCACCACCACGTAGAAGGGAAACAATAAAATAATAAAAATATAAAACAATACAATTATTATTCTTGGTTCTTTCGGTAAAGTCGCCACCACGTAGAAGGGAAACAATAAAAAAATACAAATATAAAACAATAAAATTATTATTCTTGGTTCTTTCGCTAAAGTCACCACCACGTAGAAGGGAAACAATAAAATAATAAAAATGTAAAACAATACAATTATTATTCTTGGTTCTTTCGGTAAAGTCACCACCACGTAGAAGGGAAACAATAAAATAATAAAAATATAAAACAATAAAATTATTATTCTTGGTTCTTTCGCTAAAGTCACCACCACATAGAAGGGAAACAATAAAATCATATAAATATAAAACAATAAAATTATTGTTCTTGGGGTAAAGTCACTACCACGTAGAAGGGAAACAATAAAATAATAAAAATATATAAAACAATAAAATTATTATTCTTGGTTGTTTCGGTAAAGCCACCACCACGTAGAAGGGAAACAATAAAATAATAAAAATATAAAACAATAAATTATTATTCTTGGTTGTTTCGGTAAAGCCACCACCACGTAGAAGGGAAACAATAAAATTATAAAAAATATAAAACAATACAATTATAATTCTTGGTTCTTTCGGTAAAGTCACCACCACGTAGAAGGGAAACAATAAAATAATAAGAATATAAAACAATAAAATTATTAGTCTTGGTTCTTTGGGTAAAGTCACCACCACGTAGAAGGGAAACAATAAAATATTAAAAATATATAAAACAATAAAATTATTATTCTTGGTTCTTTCGCTAAAGTCACCACCACGTAGAAGGGAAACAATAAAATATTAAAAAATATATAAAACAATAAAATTATTATTCTTGGTTCTTTCGCTAAAGTCACCACCACGTAGAAGGGAAACAATAAAATAATAAAAAATATAAAACAATAAAATTCTCACGACGTTTCGACTGCAACACCAAACAGCAATCATCATCGTCAGGTGTGAAAACCACAACAAGAAAATTTCAAATTTGATCATTTTATTGTTTCCCTTCTACGTGACTTTACCGAAAGAACCAATAATAAGGAGCGAGCTAGTCAACATGCAATAAGTATTACGAACATAGATAGATGGCAATTCCACCTCCAGGTGGTGATGTTGTTGACGTTAGAGGCGCCGAGGAGAAACAACCACAACAACAACCACAACAACAACCACCACAACAACCACAAGCGGCCAGACAATGCACACTCACTCTTAGACGATTCCTCACTAACCCAGCCACCACCCTCCTCGCTCACTGTCGCAATCCCTGACGCGTCTTGCCCAAGGGGGGAATCACTCACCACCCACTCACAACTCGCTCACCACCATCACCACTCACCACCATCACCACTCAGTCACCACCCACTCACCACCATCACCACCCACTCACAACTCGCTCACCACCATCACCACTCACTCACCACCATCACCCACTCACCACCATCACCACCCACTCACCACTATCACTCACCACCATCACCACCCACTCACAACTCGCTCACCACCATCACCACCCACTCACCACTATCACTCACCACCATCACCACCCACTCACAACTCGCTCACCACCATCACCACCCCCTCACCATCCACTCACCACCATCACCACCATCACCACCCCCTCACCACCATCACCACCATCACCACCCACTCACCACTATCACTCACTCACCACCATCATCACCCCCTCACCACCATCACCACCATCACCACCCCCTCACCACCATCACCACCCCCTCACCACCATCACCACCCCTCACCACCATCACCACCCACTCACCACTATCACCACTCACCACTATCACCACTATCACTCACCCACTCACCACTATCACTCACCACTATCACCACCCACCCACTCACCACCATCACTCACTCACTCACCACCATCACCACCCCCTCACCACCATCACCACCCCCTCACCACCATCACTCACTCACCACCATCACCACTCACTCACCACCATCACCACCCCTCACCCATCCCCTCACCACCTCCCCCTCACCACCTCCCCCCCACCCCCCAGCTTGAGAAAGCGCGCCAAGTGAACGTTGCGATCACGTGGTCCCCTCGCACTCAACAAAACGAGCCGCCATGTTGGTAAGGGGGTGAGCTGCTGGTGGTGGCAATGGTGGAGGGGGAAGTTAATAAAAAACACAATTAACATTTTTTTTTATAAAAAAACTAAATATTAAATAAAAACAGACTCACGCGGCGTGGCGAGGCGGGAGGGGCGCGAGAAATCGCGACAAAGTGTGTCGTCGTAAATTATTTTTAAAAAAATTTTGTCGTTAAATTGATGACGATACGGGGGATACCACCTCCCCCCCTACGTAAGATGGCGGCAGCTTCCGGAAGTGACGGAGACCTCGCTCCCGTCGTGCAAAGCGGCGACGACGCGGGGCGAGCGAGGAGAAGCGATACCCGTGGTGGTGAGGAGAGGTGAGGAGGGGTGAGGAGGGGTGAGTGGTGGTGAGGAGGGGTGGTGAGGAGAGGTGAGGAGAGGTGAGGGGTGGTGAGGAGAGGTGAGGAGGGGTGAGGAGAGGTGAGGAGTGGTGAGGAGAGGTGAGGAGTGGTGAGGAGAGGTGAGGAGTGGTGAGGAGTGGTGAGGAGGGGTGAGGAGGGGTGAGGAGAGGTGAGGAGAGGTGAGGAGTGGTGAGGAGGGGTGAGGGGTGAGGAGTGGTGAGGAAATGTGAGGAGATGTGAGGAGTGGTGAGGAGTGGTGAGGGGAGGTGAGGGGTGGTGAGGAGAGGTGAGGAGTGGTGAGGAGTGGTGAGGAGGGGTGAGGAGTGGTGAGGAGGGGTGAGGGGTGGTGAGGAGAGGTGAGGAGTGGTGAGGAGATGTGAGGAGAGGTGAGGAGGGGTGAGGAGAGGTGAGGAGTGGTGAGGAGAGGTGAGGAGTGGTGAGGAGTGGTGAGGAGAGGTGAGGGGAGGTGAGGAGTGGTGAGGAGTGGTGAGGAGTGGTGAGGAGAGGTGAGGGGTGGTGAGGAGTGGTGAGGAGAGGTGAGGAGTGGTGAGGAGAGGTGAGGAGTGGTGAGGAGGGGTGAGGAGTGGTGAGGAGAGGTGAGGAGAGGTGAGGAGTGGTGAGGAGAGGTGAGGAGGGGTGAGGGGTGGTGAGGAGAGGTGAGGAGAGGTGAGGGGTGGTGAGGGGTGGTGAGGAGAGGTGAGGAGAGGTGAGGAGTGGTGAGGAGAGGTGAGGGGTGGTGAGGAGGGGTGAGGGGTGGTGAGGGGGGGTGAGGGGTGGTGAGGAGAGGTGAGGGGAGGTGAGGGGTGGTGAGGAGGGGTGAGGGGTGGTGAGGAGAGGTGAGGAGAGGTGAGGAGAGGTGAGGAGTGGTGAGGAGAGGTGAGGAGAGGTGAGGAGTGGTGAGGGGTGGTGAGGAGAGGTGAGGAGTGGTGAGGAGGGGTGAGGAGTGGTGAGGAGATGTGAGGAGAGGTGAGGAGAGGTGAGGAGAGGTGAGGAGTGGTGAGGAGAGGTGAGGAGAGGTGAGGAGAGGTGAGGAGAGGTGAGGAGTGGTGAGGGGTGGTGAGGAGTGGTGAGGAGAGGTGAGGAGTGGTGAGGAGTGGTGAGGAGTGGTGAGGAGAGGTGAGGAGAGGTGAGGAGAGGTGAGGAGTGGTGAGGGGGGGTGAGGGGGGGTGAGGAGGGGTGAGGAGGGGTGAGGAGAGGTGAGGAGAGGTGAGGAGTGGTGAGGAGAGGTGAGGAGAGGTGAGGGGTGGTGAGGGGTGGTGAGGGGTGGTGAGGGGTGGTGAGGAGAGGTGAGGAGAGGTGAGTGGTGGTGAGGAGAGGTGAGGGGTGGTGAGGAGGGGTGAGGAGAGGTGAGGGGTGGTGAGGAGTGGTGAGGAGAGGTGAGGAGAGGTGAGGAGAGGTGAGTGGTGGTGAGGAGAGGTGAGGGGTGGTGAGGAGGGGTGAGGAGTGGTGAGGGGTGGTGAGGGGTGGTGGGTGAGGAGTGGTGAGTCGTGAGGAGTGAGGAGCGGTGAGGAGTGGTGAGTGAGAAGCAACGAGACAGTCCCACTCACTGCTGCTCCAAGCCTCACTCGAGTCACGCTCGATCCACTGCTGGATGGAGATCATTGTGATGGTGGTGATGGTGTCTCTATTCACTGTTGATGGAGATCAATGTGATGGTGATGATGGTGGTGGTGATGGTGATGATGGTGGTGATGATGGTGATGTCTCTATTCACTGCTGATGGAGATCAATGTGATGGTGATGATGGTGATGCTGGTGATGGTGTCTCTATTCACTGCTGATGGAGATCAATGTGGTGATGGTTGTGATGATGTCTATTCACTGCTGATGGAGACCGATGTGACGGTGATGATGGTGGTGATGGTGGTGGTGGTGTCTCTATTCACTGCTGATGGAGATCAATGTGGTGATGGTGGTGACGATGTCTCTATTCACTGCTGATGGAGACCGATGTGATGGTGATGATGGTGGTGGTGATGTCTCAACCCTGCGTGTGTTTTCTATTCATTGGCCAGAGACTCAACCTTGCCAATAGACGAACAACTACCCGTAGACTTACATTGCACACAGACTAACATTGCACACAGACTAAGATTTCACCATCAACTCAGCACTGTACCATAGACTCAGCACTGCACGAAAGACTGAACACCCCCATAGACTCAACACTGCACCATAGACTCAACACTGCACCATAGACTCAACACTGCACCATAGACTCAACACTGCACCATAGACTCAACACTGCACCGCAGACTCAACACTGCACCATAGACTCAACACTGCACCATAGACTCAACACAGCACCATAGACTCAACACTGCACCGCAGACTCAACACTGCACCATAGACTCAACACTGCACCATAGACTCAACACTGCACCATAGACTCAACACTGCACCATAGACTCAGCACTGCACCATAGACTCAACACCGCCCCATAGACTCAACACCGCCCCATAGACTCAACACTGCACCATAGACTCAACACTGCACCATAGATTCAACACTGCACCATAGACTCAACACTGCACCATAGACTCAACACTGCACCATAGACTCAACACTGCACCATAGACTCAGCACTGCACCACAGACTCAGCACTGCCCCATAGACTCAACACTGCCATAGACTCAACACTGCACCGTAGACTCAGCACTGCACCATAGACTCAACACTGCACCACAGACTCAACACCGCCCCATAGACTCAACACTGCACCATAGACTCAACACTGCACCATAGATTCAACACTGCACCATAGACTCAACACTGCACCATAGACTCAACACTGCACCATAGACTCAACACTGCACCATAGACTCAGCACTGCACCACAGACTCAACACTGCCCCATAGACTCAACACTGCACCATAGACTCAACACTGCACCGTAGACTCAGCACTGCACCATAGACTCAACACTGCACCACAGACTCAACACTGCACCACAGACTCAACACTGCACCATAGACTCAACACTGCACCATAGACTCACCACCACCGCACCAGGTAATTATTTTGAGGCTGAGTCGACCTAGGGGAGGAGGCCCAGGACCAGTTCAGAATTTTCGCTGTCACTGAGTGTTGGTGGTGGTGGTTGTGGTGGTGGTTGTGGTTGTTGTGGTGGTTGTGGTGGTGATGGTGGTTGTGGCGGTGGTTGTGGTGGTTGTTGTCGTGTTGGTGGTTGTGGTTGTTGTGGTGATGGTGGTTGTGGTGTTTGTGGTGGTTGTGGTGGTGGTGGTGGTTGTGGTTGTTGTGGTGATGGTGGTTGTGGTGGTTGTGGTGTTTGTGGTGGTTGTGGTGTTTGTGGTGGTGGTTGTGGTTGTTGTGGTGATGGTGGTTGTGGTGATGGTGGTTGTGGTGGTTGTTGTGGTGATGGTGGTTGTGGTGGTTGTGGTGGTGGCGGTGGCCGTGAGCGTGAATCGGACTGCCGGGTTTCTTAGTAGCGCGGCGTAGAGCTAACCACTGTCCCACCACTCCCCCCCACCACTCCCCCCCACCTCCTCTACCCCCCCACCTCCTCTACCCCCCCCCACTACCTCCCCCACCACCGCCTCCCCCACCACCAAGGCGTCGCCATGCCGAAGAGGACCACCACCACCACCACCGGCATCACCACCACCACCGCCGCCACCACCACCACCACCACCGGCATCACCGCCACAGCCGCCACGGTGGTGGCGGGCGCCGGAGGGGACGGCCGCTCGGAACGCCTCCCGGGGCCCCTTTTGATGGGGCCCCCCAACTTGGTGCCCCCCACGACCTCCACGACCTCCACGACCTCCACGACCTCCACGACGACCACGACCTCGTCGTGGTCGTCGTCGTCGGCGGCGGCGGGGGGGGGGAGAGCCGGGAGCCGCTTCAAAGCGAAGCACTCGCTGGACAGCGACGAGGAGGACGATGACGATGATGGGAGGCGCGCTGGCACGGGGAAGTATGACATCCTGAAGAGCGACGATATCGAGGGTGGGTGGTGCCGCTCGCTCGACCGCTCATCCGCTCGCTCGCTCGCTCACTCGCTCATCTACTCGCTCGCTCACCCGCTCGCTCGCTCACCCACTCGCTCATCTACTCGCTCATCCACTCACTCCTCTACTCACTCACTCGCTCATCTACTCGGTCATCCACTCGCTCGCTCGCTCGCTCACTCACTCACCCACTCGCTCATCTACTCGCTCATCCACTCGCTCACTCGCTCGCTCACTCACTCACTCACTCACCCACTCGCTCATCTACTCGCTCATCCCCTCGCTCGCTCGCTCACCCGCTCGCTCGCTCGCTCACCCACTCACTCACCCACTCACTCACCCACTCACTCACCCACTCGCTCATCCACTCGCTCACTCACTCACTCACTCACCCACTCGCTCACTCGCTCACCCACTCGCTCATCTACTCGCTCACCCACTCGCTCGCTCACTCATCCACTCACTCACCCTCTCATCCACTCGCTCATCCACTCGCTCACTCGCTCATCCACTCGCTCATCCACTCACCCACTCGCTCACTAATCCACTCGCTCACCCTCTCGCTCACCCTCCCGCTCACCCTCTCACCCTCCCGCTCACCCTCTCACCCTCCCGCGCACCCGCTCACCCTGCCGTGCTCACCAGGTGAGGAGGAGGCGACGCTGGACTTCGAGGGCGGGGTTCGCATCACCCCCTTCAACCTCCGTGAGGAGATGGAGGAGGGACATTTTGACTCCCATGGGAACTACTTCCTCCACCGTGACGAGGTGGTGAGGGACAGCTGGTTGGATAACATCGACTGGGTGAGCATGCCTACACCCACCTCACCCTCACCGGAAGCAGCCTACACCCACCTCACCACCAGCGCTCACCATCTCGCTCACCATCTCTCACCATCTCACCATCTCTCTCACCATCTCTCTCACCCTCTCGCTCACCATCTCTCTCTCTCACCATCTCTCTCTCTCACCATCTCTCCCTCACCATCTCTCTCTCACCATCTCTCTCTCTCTCACCATCTCTCACCATCTCTCACCATCTCTCTCTCTCACCATCTCTCTCACCATCTCTCTCTCTCACCATCTCTCTCTCTCACCATCTCTCTCTCACCATCTCTCTCTCTCTCTCCATCTCTCTCTCTCTCTCTCACCATCTCTCTCTCACCATCTCGCTCACCATCTCTCTCTCTCACCATCTCTCTCTCACCATCTCTCTCTCACCATCTCTCTCTCACCATCTCTCTCTCACCATCTCTCTCTCACCATCTCTCTCTCTCTCACCATCTCTCTCTCACCATCTCTCTCTCTCTCTCACCATCTCTCTCTCTCTCTCACCATCTCTCTCTCACTATCTCTCTCTCTCTCACCATCTCTCTCTCTCTCTCTCACCATCTCTCACCATCTCTCTCTCACCATCTCTCTCTCTCACCATCTCTCTCTCTCACCATCTCTCTCTCTCACCATCTCTCTCTCTCACCATCTCTCTCGCTCACCATCTCTCTCTCACCATCTCTCTCTCTCACCATCTCTCTGTCTCACCATCTCTCTCTCTCACTATCTCTCTCTCTCACTATCTCTCTCTCTCTCACCATCTCTCTCTCTCTCACCATCTCTCTCCCTCTCACCATCTCTCTCACCATCTCTCTCTCTCACCATCTCTCTCTCTCACCATCTCTCTCTCTCACCATCTCTCTCTCACCATCTCTCTCTCTCTCACCATCTCTCACCATCTCTCTCTCACCATCTCTCACCATCTCTCACCATCTCTCACCATCTCTCTCTCTCTCTCACCATCTCTCTCTCTCTCACCATCTCTCTCTCACCATCTCTCTCTCTCTCACCATCTCTCTCTCACCATCTCTCTCTCACCATCTCTCACCATCTCTCTCTCTCACCATCTCTCTCACCATCTCTCACACCATCTCTCACCATCTCTCTCTCACCATCTCTCACCATCTCTCTCTCTCACCATCTCTCTCTCTCACCATCTCTCTCTCTCACCATCTCTCTCTCACCATCTCTCTCTCACCATCTCTCACCATCTCTCACCATCTCTCACCATCTCTCTCTCTCACCATCTCTCACCATCTCTCTCTCACCATCTCTCTCTCACCATCTCTCACCATCTCTCTCTCTCTCTCTCACCATCTCTCTCTCTCTCACCATCTCTCTCACCATCTCTCTCTCACCATCTCTCTCTCTCACCATCTCTCTCTCACCATCTCTCTCTCACCATCTCTCTCTCACCATCTCTCTCTCACCATCTCTCTCTCACCATCTCTCTCACCATCTCTCACACCATCTCTCACCATCTCTCTCTCACCATCTCTCACCATCTCTCTCTCTCACCATCTCTCACCATCTCTCTCTCACCATCTCTCTCTCACCATCTCTCACCATCTCACACCAGCTCTCACCATCTCTCTCTCTCACCATCTCTCACCATCTCTCTCTCACCATCTCTCTCTCACCATCTCTCTCACCATCTCTCTCTCTCTCTCACCATCTCTCTCCCTCTCACCATCTCTCTCACCATCTCTCTCTCTCACCATCTCTCTCTCTCTCACCATCTCTCTCTCTCACCATCTCTCTCTCACCATCTCTCTCTCACCATCTCTCACCATCTCTCACCATCTCTCACCATCTCTCTCTCTCACCATCTCTCACCATCTCTCTCTCACCATCTCTTTCTCTCACCATCTCTCACCATCTCTCTCTCTCTCTCACCATCTCTCTCTCACCATCTCTCTCTCTCTCACCATCTCTCTCTCTCACCATCTCTCTCTCTCTCTCACCATCTCTCACCATCTCTCTCTCACCATCTCTCTCTCTCACCATCTCTCTCTCTCACCATCTCTCTCTCTCACCATCTCTCTCTCTCACCATCTCTCTCTCTCACCATCTCTCTCTCACCATCTCTCTCTCACCATCTCTCACCATCTCTCTCTCTCACCATCTCTCACCATCTCTCTCTCACCATCTCTCTCTCACCATCTCTCTCTCACCATCTCTCACCATCTCTCTCTCTCTCTCACCATCTCTCTCTCACCATCTCTCTCTCTCTCACCATCTCTCTCTCTCTCACCATCTCTCTCTCTCTCTCACCATCTCTCTCTCTCTCACCATCTCTCTCTCTCTCTCTCACCATCTCTCTCTCTGTGTCTCTCTCTCACCATCTCTCTCTCTCTCTCACCATCTCTCACCATCTCTCTCTCACCATCTCTCTCTCTCACCATCTCTCTCTCTCACCATCTCTCTCTCACCATCTCTCTCTCTCACCATCTCTCTCTCTCTCACCATCTCTCTCCCTCTCACCATCTCTCTCACCATCTCTCTCTCACCATCTCTCTCTCTCACCATCTCTCTCTCTCACCATCTCTCTCTCTCTCTCACCATCTCTCACCATCTCTCTCTCACCCTCTCTCTCTCTCACCATCTCTCTCTCTCACCATCTCTCTCTCTCACCATCTCTCTCTCTCACCATCTCTCTCTCTCTCACCATCTCTCTCTCTCTCACCATCTCTCTCTCACCATCTCTCTCTCTCTCACCATCTCTCTCTCTCCATCTCTCTCTCACTATCTCTCTCTCACCATCTCTCTCACCATCTCTCTCTCTCACCATCTCTCTCTCTCACCATCTCTCTCTCTCCATCTCTCACCATCTCTCTCCATCTCTCTCTCACCATCTCACCATCTCTCACCATCTCTCTCTCACCATCTCTCTCTCTCACCATCTCTCTCACCATCTCTCTCACCATCTCTCACCATCTCTCACCATCTCTCACCATCATCTCTCTCTCTCTCTGTGCGCGTGCCTCAGGTGCGAGTGAAGGAGAGGCCGCTGGGAGTCGCCAAGCCAGGCCGTGGCAACGCCACCACCACCACCACCACCACCGCCACCACCACCACCACCGCCGGCGAAGACGCCGACGAAGAAGACGACGACAACGAGGACTCGGGCGGCGAAGACTCCGGCGTGGACGAGGTGGCGATCCTCACCGGGATTCTGCCTCTCCTGCAACCGGGCGAGAGCGTCGAGAGAGCCATCAGGAGACTCGGAGGAAGAGGTGGAAGAGGAGGTGGAAGAAGAGGTGGAAGAAGAGGTGGAGCGGCAGCGAAGGGGACAAGGGAGCAGCAGCAGAAGGGAGGGAAGGGCGAGGCGGGGGAGGAAGGGGAGGTGGGGGAGGTGGAGCGCGAGAAGATGCAGAAGGTACACGGCTGTGTGTGTGTACGTGTGTGTATGTGTACGTGTACGTGTGTGTACGTGTGTGTGTGTGTACATGTGTGTGTACGTGTATGTACATGTGTGTGTGTGTACGTGTGTGTGTGTCTGTGTGTGTGTGTCTGTGTGTGTACGTGTGTGTGTACGTGTGTACATGTGTGTACGTGTATGTGTGTGTATGTGTGTACGTGTGTGTACGTGTGTGTGTACGTGTGTGTGTATGTACATGTGTGTGTGTGTACCTGTGTGTGTACGTGTGTGTGTGTACGTGTGTGCGTGTACCTGTGTGTGTACGTGTGTGTGTGTGTGTACATGTGCGTGTGTACCTGTGTGTGTACCTGTGTGTGTACGTGTGTGTGTGTGTGTACGTGTGTGTGTGTACGTGTGTGTGTGTACGTGTACATGTGTGTGTGTGTGTGTGACTGTGTGACTGTGTGTGTGTACGTGTATGTGTGTGTACGTGTGTGTCTGTGTGTGTGTGTGTCTGAGTGTGTGTGTGTCTGTGTGTGTTTGTGTCTGTGTGTGTGTACGTGTGTCTGTGTGTGTCTGTGTGTGTCTGTGTGTGTGTGTGTCTGTGTGTGTACGTGTGTACAAAACAACCCCCTACCTCCTCGCGGTGCCAGACGGGCAACTCTGTCGTGGACAGTGCTGTGGGGGGAGATCCAATTTTGATTGGCTCCTCCCCTCATGGCATATGTGTCCACCACAGGGGCTAAACGGGGGCTCTGGACGGGTGCGAGGGGCTGGTAACCCCTCCACCTTCAATTAATTACCACGAAACCACGAGTTAAACTGAAATATGTAACTAATAAGCTTGTGCCGGAGGCCCTGGGGGGGCCAGGCGTCTATGACGTCTCCTGGCCAAACCCCAATTGGCGGAGCCAGGAGATTGAATATCCACCCTCGGGGCTCCTCCAGAACCAACGAAAAGCCACTACGGGTGGCCACGTGGAATGTTCGAACGCTCACTGCGGAGGAGAGGCTGCCACTCCTCTGTCGGGAGCTGGACCGGTACCGCCTGGATCTATGCGGCATTCAGGAGGTCCGGTGGACCGGCTCTGGCTCCTGCCACCATGACGGGTGGACAGTCCTCTACTCGGGGCAGCAGACTGCTAAACAACAGGGTGTGGCTCTTCTTTTGAACAAAAGAATGAAGGGGGGCGTGGGAGCGTGGCGGTGAGGTGTGGGAAGCTGTAAGCCCCAGGCTACTTTGGGCTCGCCTTCCCATCAACCGGAGGCGAGGAATGGTGGTCGTAGTTACTTATGCCCCCACCGAAGATGAACATCCGTGGAGGGATGCAGGCAAAGCCGATGAGCCAGATGCCTTCTATGACCTCCTGTCACAGGTGCTGGCTAAAGTGGCCCCTCGGGATAGAGTCATCATGTTGGGTGACTTTAATGCCCGAGTTGGTCATGATACTGGCACCTGGTCTGGAGTGATTGGAGGGCATGGGCCAGATCAGCTCAATAACAACGGTAGGAGGCTGCTAGATTTTTGTGCAGCCCATGGGCTTGTAATTACCAACACGCTGTTCCGGCATTGGCGCATCCACACAACATCATGGATGCATGCCGGGTCCAAGCAAGAACATCTGCTGGACTACATAGTGACGGACCAGCGGATGCAAGCCTATGTCCTTGACACCAGGACCTACCGTGGAGCTGATCTGCCCTCTGACCATCGACTAGTCATCTGTAAGATGCGCCTGCCATTCTTCCACTCCGGTGGTGGGTGTACACCCAGGACCCCATTCCGACCTAAAGTGGCCTGGTCTCAGTTATCTGATGAAAGTTGCAAGCGAGAATTTCATCATCGCTTGCGGCTGGGATTGGCATCGTCCCCGACTCCTCCTGATATCGAGGGTAAATGGGCGAGGTTTAGGACTGTGACTCATGCAGCTGCAATGGCTGATTTGGGTACGCGGTCCAGACCTCCCCAGAGACCCTGGCTGACAGAGGAGGTGTTCAGGATGGTTGAGAAAAAGCGACAGGCCCACTGTCATCGGCTACAGAATCCCACGTCAGAGAATGAGGAGGCTTACCGCAGCCTTCGCTCGGAGGTTCGGAGAGCCGTGAGGCGCTGCAAGGATGGGTGGTGGTCGCGGGTTGCTGAGGAGATGGAGTCTGCCTCAGTGGCCCATGATCACAAATCTCTATTTAACTCCATCAAAAAAGTAACCTGCAGCGCCACACCTATTACCATCATTAGGGGAAAAAACGGTGATCCAATCTCCGACCCCCAGGAACAGGTTTGCAGATTTGCTGAGCATTTCTGTGAGGTTCTGGGGGAGGGAAAATCCCTCAGCCAGGAAAACATCGTGGCACAATGTGAGGATGACCCTGCTGAAGCTGCGTTGCCTCAAATATTGGAAGAAGTCACCCCCTGTGAGTGGCTGGCTGAGGTGCCATCTGTTGAGGAAGTACTGAAGGCGATCCGGAGTCTGAGACCAGGAAAGGCAGCGGGCAGAGATGATCTCCCAAGCGAAATGCTGAGGGAGGGTGGCGTTTGTGCACAGACTGCCCTATATGACATCATAAAAACGGTCTGGGCCGCTGGACGGGTTCCGCAGGATTGGAAGGATGCCCTGGTGATCCCCCTCTTTAAGAAGGAGGACCGCACAGACTGTAACAACTACAGGGGCATCTCACTCCTCAGTGTGCCGGGAAAGGTCCTGGCAAGGATTATTCAGCATCGCCTTGCCAGGCACGCTGAGGAGGTGCTTGCGGAGCCCCAATGCGGTTTCATGAAAGGGCGGTCCTGCACAGATGCCATATTTTCTGTCCGTCTGCTACAGCAGAGGTGTAGGGAATTCCAACAAGACCTACATCTCTGCTTTATTGACCTGGTCAAGGCCTATGATACCATCAGTAGGCCTGGGCTCTGGGTCGTTCTTCGTGCTTTTGGAGTACCTGACCCTCTGCTCACGATCATTAAGGACCTTCATGATGGTGAGCGGGCCTGGGTAAAACTACGTGGCCGGGAGTCAGAGCCATTCCCTGTACACCTTGGGGTGCGACAGGGATGTCCTCTGGCTCCCACGTTATTTAACATCTATTTTGACCACGTAGTTCGTGAAGCCTTCAATAGCTGTACCGGGGGAATCTCCATATGGTACAGATATAATGGGAGGCTGATCGATGCCCGGGTGCGGTCAAGGGATGGCTCCCTATTGGTCAACCACGTTATGTATGCTGATGATTTGGTAATAGCTGCTCAGTCAGAGGAGGAGTTGGAGACGCTGCTGCTGAGACTGGAGCGTGCCACTAAGAGGTGGGGCCTTACCATCAGCCCCACCAAAACTAAGCACCTGCCTGGGTATTTTGTACCATCGGACACTCCAACCCACAACTCCCAATCGGTGATGGGGCAGTTGTGGAGAGAGTGGAGAGTTTCCCATACCTGGGTAGTGTGCTTATGACTGGCTCCAGTTTAACAGCAGAGGTCTCACTCCGAATCAGTCGAGCCGCAATATCTTTTCATCGGTTGCGTGACGCTGTGTGGAAGCTACCTGGTCTGTCGCTCCGCACTAAGCTTCAGGTCTTCTCTGCCACGGTCATTCCCTCCCTTCTCTACGCTTGCGAAACGTGGACCCCCCTAATGGAACATCTTCGCCGGTTAGAAACATTTAGGCTGGCCTGCCTACGATCCATCCTGGGTTTAACCAGACTGGATTCTGTGAGGAGCTCACAAATCCTTGAAAGATCTGGGCAAGGTCCCATCGGTGAGCTCCTCCGGCGGGCAAGGCTGCGATGGCTGGGTCATTTAGCCCGCATGCCCAGCCAACGCATGCCGAAACAGCTTTTGTTCGGCCGGATTGAGGGGGCTAAGCGGGCGCGGCACGGGCTAGAGAAGAGATGGAGTGATGTGGTACAGGAGGACGTGGAGCTGAGTGGACTTGCCGATGACTGGTACCAGCGGTGTCAAGATCGACCTCTGTGGAGGAGGCTCGTGAAGGATGCTACTGGGCAGTTGGAGGTAGTCGCCCTCCAACAACAACGGAGGGCGGAGGAGCGACGCTCACAACAACGAGCGGAGCGCCGGGTGGCTAAAGCACAGCAGGTTGGCACAGTAGGGGGCACAGGTGGTGCATCAGCCAGTCATCTCAGTCAGTCGACCCGTGGCACCTGGGTCTGCCCCGTGACCTCCTGCCAGCGGGCGTTCGACACTTCACGTGGCCTCAAGGTGCACATAGCCTGGCACAAGCGTCGTGGTGACATCACCGCCACTTAGTGGCGAATGGCGGTTGTTGTTGTTGTGTGTACGTGTGTGTGTGTGTGTACGTGTGTGTGTCTGTGTGTGTGTCTGTATGTCTGTGTGTGTGTCTGTGTGTGTTTGTGTGTGTGTGTGTGCGTGCGTGCGTGTGTTTGTGTGTGTGTGTGTGCATGCGTGTGTGCGTCTGTGTGTACGCGTGTTTCTTTGTCCGTGTGTTCGTGTGAGTCTTCGTGCGAGTGGACGAGTGAGTGAGTGGACGAGTGATTGAAGGGATGAGTGGGTACGTGAGTGAGTGAGTGAATCGATGAGTGTGTGAGCGAGTGACTGAGTGTACGAGTGAGTGAGTTTGTAACTGAGTTAATGAGTGAGCGAGTGAGTGAATGAGTGTATGAGTGAGCGAGAGAGTGAGTTATTGAGTGAGCGAGAGAGTGAGTTATTGAGTGAGCGAGAGAGTGAGTGAGTGAGCGAGTGAGTGTGTAACTGAGTAAGCTCGCGAGTGACTTGGTGGGTGAGTGAGTGAGTGAGCGAGAGTGAGTGTGTGAGTGTGTAGCTGAGTGTGAGTGAGTGTACGAGTAAGAGAGTGAGTGAGCAAGTGAGTGAGTGGGCGAGTGAGTGGGTGAGTGGTGAGTGAGTGAGTGTGGAACTGAGTGAGCGAGTGAGTGACTGAGAGAGCGAGTGAGCGAGCGAGTCAGTGATTGAGTTAGTAACTGAGTGAGCGAGTGATTGAGTGAGTGAGCGAGTGAGTGGGTGAGTGAGTGAGTGAGTGGGTGAGTGGTGAGTGAGTGAGTGTACGATCGAGCGAGTGAGTTAGTAACTGAGTGAGCGAGTGACTGAGTGAGTGAGCGAGTGAGTGGTGAGTGAGTGAGTGAGTGTACGAGCGAGTGAGCGAGTGAGTGAGCGAGTGGGTGAGTGGTGAGTGAGTGAGTGTACGAGCGAGCGAGTGATCGAGTGGGTGAGTGGGTGAGTGGGTGGGTGAGTGGGTGAGTGAGTGGGTGAGTGGGTCAGTGAGTGAGTTAGTAACTGAGTGGGCGAGTGAGTGGGTGAGTGGGCGAGTGGTGAGCGAGCGAGTGTGCGAGCGAGCGAGTGTGCGAGCGAGCGAGTGTGCGAGCGAGCGAGTGTGCGAGCGAGCGAGCGAGTGTGCGAGCGAGCGAGTGGGCGAGTGTGCGAGCGAGCGAGTGGGTGAGTGTGCGAGCGAGCGTACGAGCGAGTGTGCGAGCGAGCGGGCCTTCGTCTCTCCCGCAGCTCATCAGCCTGGCGGATGAGCTCATCCAGTCGGGCTACTACGAGATCTACGGGGACACTCACGAGAAGATCTCGCACCGCCTTCGGGCGCTCGCAACCCCGGCAACCTCCGCAACCTCCGCAACCCCCGCAACCCACGCAACCTCCGCAACCCCCGCAACCCAACAACAAAACCAACGACGCAGAGACGTCGGAGACGATTCGTCCGGCCCGCCACCCTCCAAACGCATCAAGTCGTCCGTGACGTTTGCCGCCGGTGGTGATGGTGGTGGTGGTGATGGTGGTGGTGGTGATGGTGGTGGTGGTGATGGTGGTGGTGGTGCCGGTGGTGGTGCCGGTGGTGGTGGTGGTGAAGACGTTGAGGATGCGCTGGACATGTTTGCCGAGGAGATTGACGAGCAGACTTTGAGTCGCGACCACAGGAGGGGTGGGGCCGGTGGTGAGGGCCGGGGCGCGCGGATGGTCGAGCGAGCGAACTCGCTACTCAGTCACTCACTCACTCAGTCATCTACTCACACACTCAGTCACTCACTCACTCACTCAGTCACCACTCACTCAGTCACTCACTCACTCAGTCACTCACTCAGTCACTCACTCAGTCACTCACTCAGTCACTCACTCAGTCACTCACTCAGTCATCTACTCACTACTCAGTCACTCACTCAGTCACCACTCACTCAGTCATCTACTCACACACTCAGTCACCACTCACTCAGTCACTCACTCAGTCACTCATCTACTCACTACTCACTCACACACTCACTCAGTCACTCACTCACTCATCTACTCACTACTCACTCACACACTCACTCAGTCACTCACTCATCTACTCACTACTCACTCAGTCACTCACTCAGTCACTCACTACTCACTACTCACTCACTACTCACACATCTACTCACTATTCACTCACGCACTACTCACTATTCACTCACTACTCACTCACACACTCATCTACTCACGCACTCACTAATCAGTCACTCACTCAGTCACCAGTCACTCACTCATCTACTCACTACTCACTCACACACTCACTCAGTCACCACTCACTCAGTCACTCACTCATCTACTCACTACTCACTCACACACTCACTCAGTCACTCACTCAGTCACTCACTCATCTACTCACTACTCACTCACACACTCACTCAGTCACCACTCACTCAGTCACTCACTCATCTACTCACTACTCACTCACTCACTCAGTCACCACTCACTCCGTCACTCAGTCACTCACTCAGTCACTCAGTTACTCACTCAGTCACTCACTCACTCAGTCACTCACTCAGTCACTCACTCATCTACTCACTCACACACTCACTCACTCAGTCACTCACACACTCATCTACTCACTACTCACTCACACACTCACTTAGTCACCACTCACTCAGTCACTCACACACTCAGTCACTATTCACTCGCTACTCGCTCACACACTCACTCAATCACTCACTCACACGCCCACTCACTCACACGCTGAGTCACTCACACATTCACTCACTCACTCACACTCTCACACACTCAGTCACTCACACACTACTCACTCACACACTCAGTCACTCACACACTACTCACTCACACATTCACTCACCCACTCACACACTCACTCACCCACCCACTCACACACTACTCACACACTACTCACTCACTACTCACTCACTACTCACTCACACACTACTCACTCACACACTCAGTCACTCACACACTACTCACTCACACATTCACTCACCCACTCACACACTCACTCACCCACCCACTCACACACTACTCACACACTACTCACTCACTACTCACTCACTACTCACTCACACACTACTCACTCACACACTCAGTCACTCACACACTACTCACTCACACACTCACTCACCCACTCACACACTCACTCACCCACCCACTCACACACTCACTCACTCACTACTCACACACTACTCACTCACGTCAGGTCGCCTGTCTGACACAGCTACACAGCACCTCAGTAGGGCCTCACACCCTGGGAACACACACACACAGTCTAGTTTAGGTGTGGGTCTCTGTGGGTCTCTGTGAGTCTCTGTGGGTCTCTGTGAGTGTCTGTGGGTCTCTGTAGGTCTCTTTGTGTCTCTGTGGGTCTCTTTGTGTCTCTGTAGGTCTCTATGTGTCTCTAAGGGTCTCTGGGTCTCTATCTCTATGGGTCTCTGTACTATGATGGTGACATCAGCCACGTGGTGGAGCTGCTCATCATTTGGTGATGTCCAGCAGGTCGCCTGTCTGATACACAGCTACACACCACATCAGTGGAGACTCACACCCTGGTAACACACACACAGACACAGTCTAGTTTTAGTGTGGGTCTCTGTGGGTCTCTGTGGGTCTCTTTGTGTCTCTGTGGGTCTCTGTGGGTCTCTGTGGGTCTCTATGGGTCTCTGTGGGTCTCTGTGGGTCTCTGTGGGTCTCTATGGGTCTCTGTGGGTCTCTATGGGTCTCTGTGGGTCTCTGTGGGTCTCTATAGGTCTCTGGATATCTAAGGGTCTCTATGTATCTCTATGGGTCTCTATGGGTCTCTGTGGGTCTCTATGGGTCTCTGTAGGTCTCTGGGTCTCTGTGGGTCTCTGTGAGTCTCTGGATATCTAAGGGTCTCTATGTATCTCTATGGGTCTCTGTACTATGATGACATCAGCCACGTGGTGGAGCTGCTCATCATTTGGTGATGTCCAGCAGGTCGCCTGTCTGACACACAGCTACACAGCACCTCAGTGGAGACTCACACCCTGCTAACACACACACAGTCTAAGTTTTATTTCCACAGTGCCGGTAGCCTTCATAGGCGTCGCTGCTACTCGTTACTACTAACAGCACTTGCCCTGAAAGTTGTGTTTAGAGGCTACACGGGGGTCATTTGTCTTTGTAGAGGAGGTGACGCTGGGTGAGGAGGTGGTGCTCTGTGTGTGTGTCTGTGTGTGTCTGTGTGTGTCTGTGTGTGTGTGCGTGTGTGTGTCTGTGTGTGTGTGTATGTGTCTGTGTGTGTCTGTGTGTGTATATGTGTCTGTGTGTGTGTGTATGTGTGTGTGTATATGTGTCTGTGTGTGTGTGTATGTGTGTGTGTATATGTGTGTGTCTGTGTGTGTGTATGTCTGTGTGTGTCTATGTGTGTGTGTGTGTGTGGGGAGCGGTAGTGTAGTGGTTAGCGCTACGCTGCGCTATGAACCCGGCTTCCCGAGTTCGATTCCCGCTCACGGCCAACACCAGTGACGATTATCTGAACCGGTCCTGGGCCTCCCCTAGGTCGACTCAGCCTCAAATGAGTACCTGGTGCGGTGTGTAAACATTGCCACTAGGGAGACAAAGGCGGTCGGGCGTGGTGCTGGCCACCCACCCCCTCGTGTGCCATTCCGGCCTTCATAGGTGCTCGCTAACAGCACTTACCCCTACAGTCTGTTAAGGCTACACGGGGGATCTTTGTCTTTCTCTGTGTGTGCAGAGGAGGTGAAGGCGGGCGGTGATGAGGTGTTGTGGCAGTATAAGTGGGAGGAGGAGGATGGAGCGGAGGTCTATGGACCCTTCAGCAGTGTGCAGATGCAGGTGGAGAGAGATGCACACACAGAGACACACACAGAGACACACACAGATACGCACACAGAGACGCACACAGAGACACACAGAGACACACACAGAGACAGAGATACACACAGAGACACACAGAGACAGATACACAGAGATACACACAGGGACACACACACAGGGACACACACACAGAGATACACACAGAGATATACACAGAGATACACACAGAGATACACACAGAGATACACACAGATATACACACAGAGATACACAGATACACACACAGAGATGCACACACAGAGATGCACACACAGAGATACACACACAGAGATACACAGAGATACACACACAGAGATGCACACACAGAGATACAGACAGATACACACAGAGACACACACACAGAGACACACACACAGAGACACACACACAGAGATACACACACAGAGATACACACACAGAGATGCACACACAGAGATACACACAGAGACGCACACAGAGACGCACACAGAGATGCACACAGAGACACACAGAGATACACACAGAGACACACAGAGACAGATACACAGAGATATACACAGGGACACACACACAGGGACACACACACAGAGACACACAGAGATATACACAGAGATATACACAGAGATACACACAGAGATGCACATACAGATACACACACACAGAGATGCACACACAGAGATGCACACACAGAGATACACACACAGAGATGCACACACAGAGATACAGACAGATACACACAGAGACACACACACAGAGACACACACACAGAGACACACACACAGAGATACACACAGAGATACACACACACACAGATACACACAGAGATACACACGCAGATACAGAGATACACACAGAGATACAGTACACCCACACACAGTTCACACGCACACAGTACACACATATAGTACACACACACACGGTACACACACACACAGTACACACACACAGTACACACATATAGTACACATACACACACAGTACACATACACAGTACACACACACAGTACACACACAGTACACACACAGTACACACACAGTACACACACTACACAGTACACACACACACACTACACAGTGCACACACACAGTACACACACACATAGTACACACACACAGTACACACAGTACTCACACACTACACAGTACACACACAACACTACACACACACACACACACAGTACACACACATACACACCAAGTACAAACACACTACACAGTACACACACAACACTACACACACACACACAGTACACACACACAGTTCTCACACACACACTACGCAGTACACACACTACACAGTGCACACACACAGTACACACACAGCACTCACACATACACACCAAGTACAAACACACTACACAGTACACACACACAGTACACTACACAGTACACACACTACACACACAACACTACACACCACACTACACAGTGCACACACACACAGTACACACACACACACAGTACTCACCACACTACACAGTGCACACACACACAGTACACACACAACACAGTACACACACAACACAGTACACACACAACACAGTACTCACCACACTACACAGTGCACACACACACAGTACACACACACACAGTACTCACCACACTACACAGTGCACACACACACAGTACACACACACACAGTATATACACACACACACACACAGTACACACACACACAGTACTCACCACACTACACAGTGCACACACACACAGTACACACACAACACAGTACTCACCACACTACACAGTGCACACACACACAGTACACACACACACAGTACTCACCACACTACACAGTGCACACACACACAGTACACACACACACAGTACACACACACACAGTACTCACCACACTACACAGTGCACACACACAGTACACACACACACAGTACTCACCACACTACACAGTGCACACACACACAGTACACACACAACACAGTACACACACAACACAGTACACACACACACAGTACACACACACACAGTACTCACCACACTACACAGTGCACACACACACAGTACACACACACACAGTACTCACCACACTACACAGTGCACACACACACAGTACACACACACACAGTACTCACCACACTACACAGTGCACACACACACAGTACACACACACACAGTACACACACACACAGTACTCACCACACTACACAGTGCACACACACACACACTACACAGTACACACACAACACTACACACCACACTACACCGCCACACACACGAATTGCTACACATGATGACCTCCTCTCCCGTGTCCCCCCATGTACCCCCCCCCGCCCCCGTGTACCCCCCTGTGCCCCCGCCCCGTGTACCCCCCTGTGCCCCGCCCCGTGTACCCCCCCTGTGCCCCCCAGGGCTGGGTGGACGAGGGGTACTTTGCCGAGGGGGTGCTCTGCCGCAAGATGGGGGACCCCGACGCCCCCTTCTACTCATCCAAGCGCATCGACTTTGACCTCTACACGTGACACCCCCCCCCCCCCCAAATGGTAGAGTCCAACCCCTCCCCTCCCCCCACTCACAATGGTAGAGTCCAAACCTACCCCCCCACTCACAGTGGTAGAGTCCAAACCTACCCCCCCACTCACAGTGGTAGAGTCCAAACCTACCCCCCCACTCACAGTGGTAGAGTCCAAACCTACCCCCCCACTCACAATGGTAGAGTCCACACCTACCCCCCCCACTCACAATGGTAGAGTCCACACCTACCCCCCCACTCACAGTGGTAGAGTCCAAACCTACCCCCACACTCACAATGGTAGAGTCCACACCTACCCCCACACTCACAATGGTAGAGTCCAAACCTACCCCCCACTCACAGTGGTAGAGTCCAAACCTACCCCCCCACTCACAAGGGTAGAGTCCAAACCTACCCCCCACTCACAGTGGTAGAGTCCAAACCTACCCCCCCACTCACAATGGTAGATTCCAAACCTACCCCCCCACTCACAGTGGTAGAGTCCACACCTACCCCCACACTCACAATGGTAGAGTCCACACCTACCCCCCCACTCACAGTGGTAGAGTCCAAACCTACCCCCCCACTCACAATGGTAGAGTCCACACCTACCACCCCCCCACTCACAGTGGTAGAGTCCAAACCTACCCCCACTCACAGTGGTAGAGTCCAAACCTACCCCCCCACTGTCAATGGTAGAGTCCACACCTACCCCCCCACTCACAATGGTAGAGTCCAAACTTACCCCCCACTCACAATGGTAGAGTCCACACCTACCCTCCCACTCAATGGTAGAGTCCTTACCTACCTCCCCACTCACAGTGGTAGAGTCCACACCTACCCCCACACTCACAATGGTAGAGTCCACACCTACCCCCACACTCACAATGGTAGAGTCCAAACCTACCCCCCCCCCCACTCACAGTGGTAGAGTCCAAACCTACCCCCCCCCCACTCACAGTGGTAGAGTCCACACCTACCCCCCACTCACCGTGGTAGAGTCCAAACCTACCCCCCCACTCACAGTGGTAGAGTCCACACCTACCCCCCCACTCACAGTGGTAGAGTCCAAACCTACCCCCCCACTCACAGTGGTAGAGTCCACACCTACCCCCCCACTCACAATGGTAGAGTCCACACCTACCCCCCACTCACAGTGGTAGAGTCCACACCTACCCCCCCACTCACAGTGGTAGAGTCCAAACCTACCCCCCCCACTCACAGTGGTAGAGTCCAAACCTACCCCCCCACTCACAGTGGTAGAGTCCAAACCTACCCCCCCACTCACAGTGGTAGAGTCCAAACCTACCCCCCCACTCACAGTGGTAGAGTCCAAACCTACCCCCCCTCACAATGGTAGAGTCCAAACCTACCCCCCCACTCACAATGGTAGAGTCCTTACCTACCCCCCCCCCACTCACAGTGGTAGAGTCCAAACCTACCCCCCACTCACAGTGGTAGAGTCCAAACCTACCCCCCCATTCACAATGGTAGAGTCCTTACCTACCCCCCCACTCACAGTGGTAGAGTCCAAACCTACCCCCCCACTCACAGTGGTAGAGTCCAAACCTACCCCCCCACTCACAGTGCTAGAGTCCAAACCTACCCCCCCACTCACAGTGGTAGAGTCCAAACCTACCCCCCCACTCACAGTGGTAGAGTCCACACCTACCCCCCACTCACAATGGTAGAGTCCAAACCTACCCCCCCCCCACTCACAGTGGTAGAGTCCAAACCTACCCCCCCACTCACAGTGGTAGAGTCCACACCTACCCCCCCACTCACAGTGGTAGAGTCCAAACCTACCCCCCCCACTCACAGTGGTAGAGTCCAAACCTACCCCCCCCACTCACAGTGGTAGAGTCCAAACCTACCCCCCCCCACTCACAGTGGTAGAGTCCAAACCTACCCCCACTCACAGTGGTAGAGTCCAAACCTACCCCCCCACTCACAGTGGTAGAGTCCAAACCTACCCCCCCACTCACAGTGGTAGAGTCCACACCTACCCCCCCACTCACAGTGGTAGAGTCCAAACCTACCCCCCCACTCACAATGGTAGAGTCCACACCTACCCCCCCACTCACAATGGTAGAGTCCACACCTACCCCCCCACTCACAGTGGTGGAGTCCAAACCTACCCCCCCCACTCACAGTGGTAGAGTCCAAACCTACCCCCCCACTCACAGTGGTAGAGTCCAAACCTACCCCCCCACTCACAGTGGTAGAGTCCAAACCTACCCCCCCTCACAATGGTAGAGTCCAAACCTACCCCCCCACTCACAATGGTAGAGTCCTTACCTACCCCCCCCCCCCCCCACTCACAGTGGTAGAGTCCAAACCTACCCCCCACTCACAGTGGTAGAGTCCAAACCTACCCCCCCATTCACAATGGTAGAGTCCTTACCTACCCCCCACTCACAGTGGTAGAGTCCAAACCTACCCCCCCACTCACAGTGGTAGAGTCCAAACCTACCCCCCCACTCACAGTGCTAGAGTCCAAACCTACCCCCCCACTCACAGTGGTAGAGTCCAAACCTACCCCCCCACTCACAGTGGTAGAGTCCACACCTACCCCCCACTCACAATGGTAGAGTCCAAACCTACCCCCCCCCACTCACAGTGGTAGAGTCCAAACCTACCCCCCCACTCACAGTGGTAGAGTCCACACCTACCCCCCCACTCACAGTGGTAGAGTCCAAACCTACCCCCCCACTCACAGTGGTAGAGTCCAAACCTACCCCCCCCACTCACAGTGGTAGAGTCCAAACCTACCCCCCCCACTCACAGTGGTAGAGTCCAAACCTACCCCCACTCACAGTGGTAGAGTCCAAACCTACCCCCCCACTCACAGTGGTAGAGTCCACACCTACCCCCCCACTCACAGTGGTAGAGTCCAAACCTACCCCCCCACTCACAATGGTAGAGTCCACACCTACCCCCCCCACTCACAATGGTAGAGTCCACACCTACCCCCCCACTCACAGTGGTAGAGTCCAAACCTACCCCCCCCACTCACAGTGGTAGAGTCCACACCTACCCCCCACTCACAGTGGTAGAGTCCACACCTACCCCCCCCCCCCCCCCCCCCCCACTCACAGTGGTAGAGTCCAAACCTACCCCCCCCCACTCACAGTGGTAGAGTCCACACCTACCCCCCCACTCACAATGGTAGGGTCCACACCTACCCCCCCACTCACAATGGTAGAGTCCAAACCTACCCCCCCCACTCACAGTGGTAGAGTCCAAACCTACCCCCACTCACAGTGGTAGAGTCCAAACCTACCCCCCCACTCACAGTGGTAGAGTCCACACCTACCCCCCCCACTCACAGTGGTAGAGTCCAAACCTACCCCCCCACTCACAATGGTAGAGTCCACACCTACCCCCCCCACTCACAATGGTAGAGTCCACACCTACCCCCCCACTCACAGTGGTAGAGTCCAAACCTACCCCCCCCACTCACAGTGGTAGAGTCCACACCTACCCCCCACTCACAGTGGTAGAGTCCACACCTACCCCCCCCCCCCCCCCACTCACAGTGGTAGAGTCCAAACCTACCCCCCCCCACTCACAGTGGTAGAGTCCACACCTACCCCCCCCACTCACAGTGGTAGAGTCCACACCTACCCCCCCACTCACAATGGTAGAGTCCAAACCTCACATCATAGAAGGATTTTAGTGGGGGGGGGGGAGTGATTGCGTGATAGGATTTTAGTGGGGGAGGGTGAGCTGACTGTGTAATAGGATTTTAGTGGGGAGGAGTGGATACTCTCTCTGTGTCTCTGAATAGTGGGGGGCTGGTGATGGCACCGTGTAATTGGTGGGGGGGAGCTTATCGTCGGAATCAGTCTCTCCCCCCCCCTCTCTCTCTCTCTTTCCTCGCTTTGAGTTGCAGACTCCGTTTTCATTAAAAATAATATCTTACAAGTTGTTGTGGTGGTTGTTGTAGTGGTGGTGATGATGATGGTTATTTAGTGATGGTGGTTGTCAGCCAGTCGACCCGTGGCACCTGCTGGGCCTGCCCCGTGACCTCCTCCTGCCAGCGGGCGCTCGACACTTCACGTGGTAGCCTAGAGGTGCACCTAGCCTGGCACAAGCGTCGTGGTGACGTCACCGCGACTTAGTGGCGGTTGGTGTGGTGGTGGTGATGGTTGTGATGGTGGTGATGGTGGTTTGTGGTGATGATGATGATGGTGGTGATGGTGGTTGTGGGAGTTGTAGTCGTGGTGATGGTGGTGGTTGTGGTGATGGTGGTTGTAGTGGTGGTTGTATTGACGGTGGTTGTAGTGGTGATAGTGACTGTGGTGGTGGTTGTGATGATGTTGGTGGTGGTTGTGATCATGGCGGTGGTGATTGTGTGCTTATGACCACCTGCAGCATATTATTACCGGCTGCGTAACTCCGGTGTTGTGTGGAAGCTACCTGGTCTGTCGCTCCGCACGAAGCTTCAGGTCTTCTCGGCCACGGTCATCCCCTCCCTTCTCTACGCTTGCGAAACGTGGACCCCCCCTAATGGAACATCTTCGCCGGTTAGAAACATTCAGGCTGGCCCTGCCTACGATCCATCCTGGGTTTAACCAGCAGGCTGGATTGTGTGAGGAGCCCACAAATCCTTGAAAGATCTGGGCAAGGTCCCATCGGTCAGCTTCTCCGGCAGGCAAGGCTGCGTTGGCTGGGTCATGTAGCCCGCATGCCCAGCCACCGCATGCCTAAACAGCTTTTGTTCGGCCGGATCCAGGGGGCTAAACAGGCGCAGAATGGGCTGGAGATAATACGGAGTGGGTGGGTGAGTGGGTGAGTGGGTGTGTGGGTGAGTGACACGGGCTAGAGAAGAGACGGAGCTGATGCGGTACGGGAGGATGTGGAGCTGAGTGGACTTGCCGAAGAGCGGTACCAGCGGTGTCAATATCGGAGGAGGCTCATGAAGGATGCTGCTGCTGGGCAGTGCCAGGCTAGGTGCACTGTGAGGCAACTGGGCAGTTTGGAGGCAGTCGCCTTCCAGCAACAACGGAGGGCAGAGGAGCGACGCTCACAACAATGAGCGCAACGCCGGGCGGATAAAATA